CGCATTCTCGTTAGCGTTTTGACCCGCGACTGTCTTCTCGCCACACGTGCCTCTTCCGCGGAGCCCGGTGGGGGCTGGCCTTTCCCACGCTCCATCCCTCCTCTTCTCGGCTCTGACCTCCGGTCGCCTGCCCCTTTCCCTCGCTGACCTCGGGCCGCGCCTGGCTCGTGACCTCGTGACCCTGTGACCCTTGCGCCTCCTGTCTGGGCTCCCGGCAGAGAAGGTTCCCGACTGAGGCACTTGGAGACTTCGCTGACGGGGCCCAGCGTAGGCAAGGCGGCCTTGGACTCCCAGCCCGGTCTCGCTGTCCCACCCGTCACCTCTGATGCTTGTTGGTCCCACCCCGTCACTCCTGATACTTGCTCTCCCTCCTGTCACCCCTGATGCTCACTGTCCCACCCCATCATCTCTGATGCTTGCTGTCCCCATCCCATCACCCGACGCTCGCTGCCCCCACCCCGTCACCCCCCATACTCACTGTCCCACTCCATCACCCCCAGTGCTAACTGTCCCACCCCACTACCTCTGATGCTTGCTGTCCCCACCCTATCACCCTGTACACTCGCTGTCCCACCCTATTACCCTTGATGTTCACTGTCCCGCCCCATCACCCCTGACACTTGCTGTCCCACCCTGTCACCTCTGATGTTTGATGTACCCACTCCATCACCTCTGATGCTTGCTGTCCCCACCTCATCACCCCCGACAGTCGCTGTTCCACCCCATCACTCCTGACACTCTGTCTCACCCTTTCACCTCTGATGCTGATGCTTGTTGTCCCTACTCTGTCACCCCTGATGCTCACTGTCCCACCCATCACCCCTGAGCTTATTGTCCCCACCCCATCACCCTGGACACTCACTGTCCCACCCATCACCCCTGACACAGGGTCACCCCATCAATCCCAGTGCTCACCATTCCACCCCATCATCCCAGATGCTCAGTATCCCCACCGTGTCATCCTTGGGCCACGGCCCAGCAAGAGGTGAGCCGAGGAGGTCGAGGCCACCATGATGGTGCCACTGCACTCCAGCCTGGGCACAGAGTGAGAACCCAACTCAAAAAATAAATAAATAAATAAGGCAGACCCACCAAGAGGACATGCAGCTCAGGCAGCTGGTAAGTGGCTTCCTCCTTGGTGGAGTCCCATTCACATTTGGAAGGTTGTTCAGTGGGCATCAAATCAGAGACCATGGGCATCAGGTGGGAAGCCCCCCCCCCCGCAGAGCTGAAGACCCTTCCCTGAGGCTGGCTGGAGGGTTTCTTCCCCCATCAGAGACCTGGAGGACATGCATGTCTCCACACACACACAGGGAGACCAGCAGGCATGTCCTTTGCGTGAAGTCTCATCCCTTTTCCTTTTCCTGCCTTGAACAGTCAGCCGCTGTCGGAGAGAACTTGGAGAACAGAGGACCAGGTCCCCGTTCTGGCAGAGGAAAGGCTGATGATGGAAACTCCAAGCTGCTTGTAGGGCGTAGATACTGAGGCTCGATGGGGGATCCAGGTATCCAGTTCTCCCAGAGAAGCACTGGAAATACAGATTCCCGGGCCTTGCCAACTGAGGTGGAGCTTCGTGGGTGGCATCTGAGAATCTTTGCTGTTAAGTTCCCAAGATGATGTTTCATCTACAGAGATGCAGGGTAAGGACGGAGTGAAGAGAAAGCAAGGAGGAGTGTGGCAGGCCCACATCCCTTTCTATCACCCTCACCACACTCCCAGCATCTGCCGCGCACCTTCCTACCTCTCCAGCCTTGGCCTGTCCACCCCCACCTCACACTTCAAACTCCAGTCTACCCCTTCCTCCTTCCCCCCTCACCCCCATTCACTGTTTTCACCAAAGCGTAAATCCTGAGGAATCAGAGACATGACCCTTCTCGCTCCTAAAAAAACTTTGTTATGGAAAGTTTCAGACATAGACAAAGATGAAGGGTTAGCATAACAAATGCCACATGTCCTTCACTGGGCTCACTATCTACTTGGTCCTCATCTTGGGTCATTTATGCCCCTCCCACTCCTCTCCAACATATTATTTTGATGTGGATCCCAGATACCCTAACATTTTATTTATAAATGTTTCCTTATGTATCTCTAAGTATTCAACAAAACATAATTATAATACCATTCTCTTAAAAATTACAATAAATCCCTAATACCATCAAATATCTAGTTAGCTTTCAAATATCCAGTTGTCTCACAAATATTGTAATTTTTTTTTTTTTTTTTGCATTGGAGTCTCACTCTGTCGCCCAGGCTGGCTGGAGTACAATGGCACACTCATGGCCACCACAGCCTTGACCTGCTGGGCTTAGGCAATCCCTCTGCCTTAGCCTTTCAAGTAGCCTTTCAAGTATATGGAACTACAGATGCGTGCCACCACTCCTGGCTAATTTTTTGTGATTTATTGTAGAGATGAGGTCTCATCAAGTTTCCTGGGTGGGTCTCGAACCCTCAGGCTCAGGCAATCCTCTCTCCTTGGCCTCCCAAAGTGCTGGAATTACAAACTGAGCCACTGTGCCTGGCCAATTTTATTTTTTTACATTTTGGTTGGTTGAATCAGGAGCCAAGTAAGATCCAGTTTCTGAAGTCTCTTGATCTACAGGTCGCTAAGTCTCTGAAGACTCTTTTGAGCTGCAGGTTTCTCCCTGTGTGCCTCTTTTCCTTTCAGTATCTTTGATGAAGAAACTGTGGCCCCTCCTTTTTAAAAATTCCTCCCCATCCTCTTTCAGTCTTTTCCAGAGCATTTGAGAAAACCACAAAGCTTCTATTTTAAATAATGAGAAGACTCACTGAACAAAGGAAATCTTTTACACATTTCCAATTCCAATTAACTTTGCCTCTGCTCTATAAATAGGGTGAGCCTTATCCACCATTGGGTCCCCAGGGTCTCACATGTGATGCTGGCTGTGCATTATGGAGAGAAGATAGGAGAGAAGGAAGAGAAGGTTTAGGAAATACTTTAGAGGGGCAAGCAGAGAAAATTAGGTAGATACTACATTTTTCTGAGTAAGTAGATGTGAACTCTTTATTCAGGACACCCTTTCCTTTGCAAAGTGTGATAAAGTCTGCGTTTTTATAGGCCCTCCTGATCTGGGACAGGCTCACTCCTCACTCTCTAAAAACCTTGTTAGCATTTTTCAATGAAATAGCAGATAAAGCAAAATAAAACAAAGTTAGGTTTTTTTAAATTATAAAAGTAATTTGTGTCTATGAGGAAAAATTCAAAGTTTCAAAATAAAGTGAAAGATAAGCATTTCTTTTCCTAGAAGTCACCATCCATATCTCCCTGCCTCAATATTTTTTCAGGCAGTGGCTGAAACCAGTGAGCTGTTTTTGTTCATTCTACTTCTATTGGTGACAGAATTACAGCCATTTTTACATTTGTTTTGCAAAATTATCTTTCTGTATGTGTGTATGCATATTATATATATAATACTTTCTACTAAATGCAGCAAAGTTGCAGTGGCACAATCATGATTACCACAACCTCCTGGGCTCAGGCAATCTTTCTGCTTGAGCCTCCCAAGTAGCTGGGAGTACATGAACATACTACCACACCCAGCTAATTGTTTATTTGTAGAGATGAAGACTTGCTATGTTACCTAGGCTGTTTTCAAACTCCTGGGCTCAAGCAATCCTTCCACCTTGGCTTCCCAAAGTGCTGGGATTATAGGTGTGAGCCACCCCACTTGGCCACCCAACTCACTTTTTTTTTTTGAGTCAGAATTTCACTCTGTCACCCAGGCTGCAGTGCAGTGGCACACTCACGGCCACCACAACCTCGACCTTCTGGGCTCAGGCAATTCTTCCACCTCAGCCTTCCAAGTAGCTGGAACTACAGGCATGCACCACTATGCCCAGCTAATTTTGTGATTTATTGTATAGATGAGGTCTCACCAAGTTGCCCAGGCTGGTCTCAAACCCATGGGCTCAGGCATTCCTCTCATGTCGGGCTCCCAAAGTGCTGGGATTATAGGCGTGAACCACCACACCCAGCTCCCACTCACTTTGAATGGGCCTGATACAACTTATTTTTATCTACTCAGGCCCCAAAGGCATTTGAATTTGCAACTCCTGCCATGTCTTGTCAATGTTCCACCATGCAACCATGGAATAAACCAGCCTCTGCCACAAACCCTCCCCATCAGATGAAAAGCCTCATTCCTTCTTCCTTCTGTTCTGAGAAGGTGGGAAAGGCCTTGCCGTTCTGCCAAGCCTCTAAGCTCTGCCTTCCTCAGCCCTTGATTTTATTGTGAGGATCCAAGCCAAATCTGCCCCAGCTGTCCCTCTGCCCTCTTCTAGGGGAGGGTGTGAAACGAGGCAACTTTGTCAAACAAAGCAGATCGGCCTCCTCTCCTTGGTGTTGCCTTTCTCAGGCACTGCTCTTGAAAGGTTGTGAGCCCTTTGAGGGGCCCTCACCCATCTCATTCACATGTAGCTCAGTGGTCTGTCTCTGACCATCTCTCTCACTGGGATACAATTTTTTAGACTGTCGACAAATGTATTTATTTGCTGAACACCTCTGTTGAGTGTCAGGCACTGTTCTGGACTCTGGGAGTTTGGTGGTGAGTAAGACAGGCAGGAGCCCTGTGTTCTTGGGATCCATCTGTGAGTGAAAATGTGCACACCAGCAGGTGACTGCACTAATCGATAGCAGTTTTCCAAGAACAGAACTTGGGACCAGCCACCTCTTACACAATCTAGCATCTTCAGAAGCAGGAACAACCACCATGCTGCCAGGGACTGTCCCTGTGGTTTATAGTAATTCACTCAGTCCTCTTAGCTACCCTTTCCAGCAGATAATGCTGTTACCACCTTACAGGCCCCTGAGAAGTTAGATAACACGTCCAAACTCACAAGGCTAGTACAGATGTTGCTTCCATTTGGGTTGAGGCCAACTTTTCTACAACCACTGAATCTCAGTGTGCCATGATCTCATGAGAATGAGAAGGAGGCAACTGGATATATCCTCAGGAGGAAGACTCAGATTGGACCCTAGGAAGAACTCCTTGCAACGTTTGTGAACATGTGAGAGAAAGGAATCACTTTCCTGGGCATTTGCTTCTTCCTTGAATTTTTTTTTTTTTTTGTCGGAGCCCAAGTTGGAGTGCAGTGGCATGCTCATGGCCACCACAGCCGTGACCTGCTGGGCTCAGGTGATCCTTCCACCTCAGCCTTCCAAGTAATTGGAACTACAGGCACCTACCACCATGCCCAGCTAATTTTTTGAATTATTGTAGACACGAGGTCTCGCCAAGTTGCCTAAGCTGGTCTCAAACCTGTGGGCTCAGGCAATCCTCTCACCTCCACCTCCCAAAGTATTGGAATTACAGGCACGAGCCACTGCACCCAGCCCCCTGAATTTTTTATATTGCATAAATAATGTAAAAATAAATTATTCTGGAGAGCATGCATAATTCCACCTTGTGAAATGTGTTCCTTTTTTCTTCTTTCTGGGCCAGATTGAGACTACTAGAAGCTGGCATGAGAAGGGCAAGCACCGACATTGTTTCTACCCACAACAACTCAGAGGTTAGGACGTGCTGCTAGCAGAGCCCGGCCCCATCCCAGGCCTCCAACATCCAGCGTGACCCCAGGATGCCTGGGACGAAACTTGCTCTTCCACAGGATGGCATTGCTGTGGGCTTCGGCAGAGGGAACTGGTCAGCTTCCTACAGCTCCAGGCCATTTAGGATGAAGCAGCTAGAGGTGGGGCCATGAGGGCCACCTGCTGTTTTGTGAAGCAGCGTGCCACCTGGGGGAGACAGGGAGGGAGAAGAGGGCTGTCCGTGATGTTGGGCAGAGTTGGCGGAATGCCTAAAATGACATTCCAGGTCACTGAGTGGGGTCATGAGATGAAAGCCCCCCCCATCAATCAGCTCCAAGTTGTGGGCTGGAGTGCAGGAGATGCAGGGTAGCGTGGACAACCTGGCCTGCTCTGGGGAGATCCACCAGTGCCCTCTTCCCAAAGGGCCTTTAAGTCCAGTAAAACATATTTCATCTGTGAAAATCTTTAATCTTTGCGTAGTATTTTCTTCACAATGCCTCTCTCTTTTTTTTTTTTTTTGAGTCAGAGTCTCTCTGTTGCCCTAGCTGGAGTGCAGTGGCACAATCACAGTTCACCCACAGCCTCAACCTCGTAGGCTCAAGTGATCCTTTCACCTCAGCCTCCTGAGTAGCTGGGACTATGGTGTGTGCCACCACACCTGGCTAATTTTTCTATTTTGTTTTGTAGAGATGAGGTCTGGCTATGGTGCCCAGGCTGGTCTTGAACTCCTGGGCTCAAGCGATCCTCCTGCCTCGGCCTCTCAAAGTGCTGGGATTACAGGCATGAGCCACCACATCCATCCCTCGTTTGTTATTTTGGTTCTTACATCCACCTTACTGACAGGTAGGACAGGTATTATTATCCACACATTTTCATTTAGATCACATGTAGAGTCGCACAGTGGCAAGTAGAGCCCAGTGCTACCCAAGGTCTTCTGATTTCTTAAGCCCCAGGCACTTTCTCTTGGTTTCCTCAGATCAACTTTTGGATCTTTCCAAAGCTTTCTACCACCTCAGTGTGAAAATTCTGAACCCCCTCTCATCCCCATGGCTTAGAAACAAATTGGAGAAATCTGCCCAATAACCATATTGGCTTGGGGGCTCATGATGAGCCCACTGTGTCCCTGAGGGAGGGCCACCCCTTCAGGCTCTGTCAGAGACACTGGGACCCAGAACTTGTACAATGCCCTGATAAGCTTCTTAGAAGAGGCAGGTATTAGCTAGGATCAGATCTTCCCCTGAGATGCCCTTCACACCCGACCCTGGTTTGAATTAGATTCCATAAGAGAGCTGGGGGCAGAGAATGGGGTGTTTCCCGCTGTCCGACATCAGATTCACTCTTTGAGACCTTGGATTCTGGCAAGTTTCCAGAACTGAGAAGACTCCAGATGTCCAGGTTTGAAGGTAAACGATGTGGTTAGGTTGGAGGGATCAGCTGGGGTCAGCTCAGCTGTTACATAACACAGGAACACCAGAAAGAGAGGAGCCTTCTCTGGGAGACACAGAGGGCTTGCTGCAAAGTGTTGAGTGCATGGCCAAGGACAGGGGCTGCAGGGAGGTGGTGGAAGGAAAGTTAAGGAAGTCAAGTGCCGAGAAGGAAGTTCACATATTCCTACTCCTTCTGTTGCTTGTCCTTCTGCTTTTCAAGACAGTTGCATTTTCTTCTCTAGTCAGTGTGGTATGAAAGAATGGGGAATTAGGAGGCGCAGCTGCTTGGCTGCTCACTGGTTGTGTGCCGCTGGGCAAGTCGCTTGCCTCTCTGGACCACAGTGTCTTCAGGTCTCAGTGAGGAGTTGCACCCTATCACTCAGTCACTTGCTCACATCTAATATATTACTATCGTGAGCAAAGCCAGTCCACCTCTAGTTACTGTTTTGTAATAACCTGTAGTCATTGACTAAAGATTTCATAAATACTTGCTTATGCTGGGCCTCAAGGCCCTTCTTCATAGTATGAGGATTCTTTGAGGGTCTTTCAGGTCCTTCCCTCCTTCATTCTTGTGTAAAACTAACCCTTATGTTGCCCTTGATTCTGCTGAAGGCTTTTTACAGACCTTAGGTGTTTTTACTCAATATATATCCCTTGACATAGGTACTAATGCTATTTATATGGGTATTATTACAATTAAATCAAACTAAACTTACATTTAAAATATTTTAGCATGCATGATAAAAAGGTCAAACTAATAGAATATACAGTGAAAACAAGTAAGTTTCCTTCTGACTTCTTAACCTCAGTTTTCCTTCCCCAGATGTTCTTCTGGAGATCATCTCTGCTTAATTAGTATGCATGCTTTTGTGCCCATTTCACAGATGAGGCACCAAGGCTGACTGTCTATATGGCACCGCTGCTCAGCAGCAGCTCTGCAGCAGCCCGACCAAACCCCGGCCTTTGCCTCACTCCCCATGTCCCTCTCCCACACCACACTCTGGAAGGCTCTGGAACATTCACTCTTAAGCTTTGTCCTCTCTGGATGAGGTGGCGTAAGCATTTTAAGTCAGTCCAGAAAACTATATGGAGTCTCCATGTCCCTGGCAATGACCCCCATGGCTGTCTCTTTTTGTCTACAGTTTAAAATCACGTCTCCGCCGGGCTCGGTGGCTCAGCCTGTAATCCCGCGCCTTTGGGAGGCTGAGGTGAGTGGGTTGCCTGAGCCC